TGGTTCATAGGTCGATGCTCAACCCCTGAGCCATGCCCGAGGGGCCGCCCTTCCATTTTCTGCAGCAGCAGCTGTCTTGTCCTGTCTCCCCTCTCTGGGCACCCCGCCGGCCGCAGGGCGGGCACACACCTGCAGAGGCCGCCTGGTACCAGAGCCTCAGCTCACAGGTGGGGGCCGCCTCACGCAGGACGGGGGAGCGCAGGGCGGCCACGGACGGCTCTTTCCCGCGATGAGTGCCCACAGCCGCGAACCAGCCTGGACAGCAGAGGGGTTAGAAGACGGGCAGGGACCGAGCAAGGGGAGGCCTGGGCACCCACCCGGGAGGGCTCACCTAGGTCAGTGCCCAGAGTGTGGTCTGCGCGCGGCCCAGGGCCCCCCAGCGCGGCCGCTGCCCGGTCCCGGAGCCAGCGGTAGCCTGAGGTGCTGATGTCTCGCCAGCCACAGGAGTCCTGCTCGAAGCTGCAGGCGAAGGGGGCGCTCCGGGCGGGTGAGGCCCCGTTGTAACCTGGGACAGCAGGGGCGGGGGTCAGGGGAGTGGCCCTCAGGGGCCGGCCAGCCCTGCCCCGCCGCCCGCCGCCCTGCTCACCACACTGTGTCTCGTCGGAGCAGTCCCCGCAGTCGCACACGAAGTTGCACACGGTGTCCGGGGGGGCCCGGCAGTGGTTGGGGACCCAGGCCCCGCCTGGGGACCCTGCTGCCAGCAGAGACAGGCAGGAGTCTAGCAGGGTGACCCCATCCTGTATGCCTGTGGCGGTCCAGGCTGTGGGTTGTCCTGCTCTGGGTTCCGGGCCAGGAGGTCAGAGGGGGGGCTGGGTCTGTGGCTGGGGGCTCCCCACCAAGGCCGAGCCGAACGCAGCTGGCCTGAGAGGCTGGCTGCACGGGACCGAGGGCCCCCCACGTGGAGCAGCCCCTGGGGAGGGAAGCGGAAGCCGGGAGGGAGGGCACCCCCAAGGGGGGGTGTCAGTGGTGACCCAGACCCTCCGGTTCCAGGCGTCCAGGGGCACGGGTTTGCCGCCAGGGCCTCTCACCTGGGGCCTGGCCTGGGAGAGCACAAGTCTCGCCCCCTGCCCAGCGGGGCAATCCCAGGACCCCAGGGCTCCCTCTGGGTCCCACCCAGCTCTGCTACGGAGCCGAGCCCGACAACTCACCCAGGAGCAGGACCAGGGCAGGCAGGAGGCGGCTGGGCAGAGGCATGGCCCGGCCGAGGGAAGCGGACCGGGGCCCTGTGCTCAGTTATCCCCTCGACCCCACTGCTGACTCCGCTCTAACTGGAGGGGCCCCTGGGCCAGCCCCGCCCCCGCCGATGAGGGCAAACTTCCAGTCGTAAAAGGGTCCAGGAGAGGGGCCCCCGGCCCACGTCAGCTCCCACTAGTCCAGCAACTCCGGACCCAAGGTCTGGCCCTGCCCGTCACGCCAACCGCCGCTCAGCCCTGCCTGGTGGAGGCCCCACTGGAGGTGGCTCCAGGCAGCACAGGCTGCGACCACTCCTCCCGGGCCTGTCCCCACCCTGGCAGTGAGTGAGTCAGCTGGCCCGGGCACCAGCAGGCACCCAGCACCCCTAAACCCTGGGAGGAGGGCCAGCAGCCAGGGCCCTGACCATCTCCATCCCCATCACTCAGCCTATGGCGTCTGTTCCCTTACTCATTCCTAAATAATCACTTATTTTAACGTATTTTTATTGATTTCAGAGCGGAAGGGAGAGGGAGACAGAGAACCAGCCATGATGAGAGGGAATCATGGGTCGGCTGCCTCCTGCGTGCTCCGCTGGGGATGGAGCCTGCGACCCGGCACGTGCCCCGACCAGGAATCGAACCGTGACCTCCTGGCTCCTAGGCTGACGCTTACCCACTGAGCCGCGCCGACCGGGCAGTAACCATTTATTCATGGACAACTGTCCCGAGCAGTGTGGCTGGGGACCCAGGGGCCCTGATGCTCTTGGCACCGACCGTAGATGCCCTCCGCCCCCCACTTGTCAGCACAGGGTGGGGAGCCGAGCTCTGCCTGCAACGGACGCTGTGACCTGGGAGGCTGCCTGCTCACCTGTGGAAGTGGTGGCACTACACCCGCCCGGCGGCTGCCGTGAGCTCACGGACGGCACGCACGACAGGGCCGCAGCCACGGGCACCCCCACACTCAGGGATCCAAGGGCAGCTGGGCCTCAGTGGGCCTGGCTCTGCCCTCCCTGTGCCTGGTGACCCCCAGCAGCTCTGCACTGGGAAGAGGAGAGGGGTTTGGGGAGAGGGGCTCCCAGCGCCATGTCGGACGCTCTGCCTGTTCACCTTGGCTGGGGGCCGGGGCCGGGCCCTGATCCTGGGAACAAGGAGTCACACGCCACTTTCACGTGTGACCTGGGTGGGCAGGGCACACAAGGGCTGAAGTCAGCTGCCGGGACGGTGGCCACAGGTGCCCTCCCTGCCCGCATGCTGGCATGGGCACTCCCAAGCCAGGCCCCAACTCCTTTCGCAAGGGCTGGGTGGGCCTCATCCCAGATGTCCTTGGGGACAGTCACGAGGAGGAGCAGTTAGGCCATAAAGGGGGGCAGAGCTGGGGGGGAGCTTATCAGACTCCAAAGAGCTGAGTGTGCACCGCCACTCCCTGGGGCCCCCGGGGGTGGAGCAGGGCGAGGGGCAGCGGGGAGGGGAGCCCCTGCCCCAGGGCTGCCTGACGCTCGGCCACCCACCCGCTCTAGTCAGGGCCCAGAGCAGCAGAGGAGTCGAGACACAGCATCTGGGGCCCAGCTGGGTTAGTGCTTTTTATTCCCATGGGTGAGGTAAACCCGGAACTGGGGCCAGGCTGGCGTCCATCTCCAAAGCCTGGGCAGGGTGGCACGCGCCAGGGGGGCAGCCCAGCCCCTCAGGAGGGCTTCAAGGGCAGAGTTCTGAGCGGGTGGCCTCAGTAGCCATCGTCTGCCCAGGTCACTTCGTAGTCGGGGTACCTGGCTTTGATCTTCTCGGTGGAGATGGAGTGCTGGGCACGGCCGAACCCCTGAAGAAAGAAGGCATCTCTCACAGCCTGTGTCCTGGCTCTGGGGGTCCAGGTAGCAGTGACACCCCGGAGCCAGAGCAGCGCAGGGGCCCCAGGGCGGAGCCAAGTGCCATCATCCCCAACCACCTGGGGAGCCCTCGGTGGGAAGGTGGCCACCACGGAGAACAGGTCTCTCGCCTGAAGCCCAGGCTATTCTAGGCGCCAAGAGAACGTCCCTGCGCTTCCACCGGTGGCCTGGTGAGGGGAGAGGGAGGGGCCTCTGGGTGTCACCAGGATACTGAGGCCTCAGTGACAGCCCAACCAGGCCTCTCTTTATATGTACGTATATGTTTTCTTACTGATCTCAGAGAGGAAGGGAGAGGGAGGGACAGAAACATGAATGATGAGAGAGAATCATTGATCGGCTGCTTCCTGCTCACCCCACTCTGGGCACCCGGAATCGAACCGTGACCTCCCGGTTCATAGGTTGATGCCCAACCACTGAACCACACCGGCCGGGCCCAACCAGGTCCCTTGAGGCTGGAACAGGACTCAGCCCGCTGTACTGCGGGGCAGCTGTGGCCTCCCACCCACCCTGGGTCCCGTGTGAGCTCTGCAGCGGGTGCGGTGCGCGCGGGGCCTCACCATGGAGTAGCCGTACACGTGGATCTTCTTGTCCTGGCTCTGGTGCGAGATCCGCCCGCCGCCCAGGCACTCGCAGCCATAGCCTTTCTGCTGCATCTCGCCCGCCACCTTGTCGTAGATGTCAGCTGGGGCGGGAGAGGCAGCACTCAGCCTGCGCCCGTGGGAACCAGGGGTCTGAGCCCCAGCGCTGAGCAGCTGACTCCCCGGGAGAGGGCCCCCCAGGCTGGGCAGGGGCGCGGGGAGGAGGAGCGAGGGGTCGGCCACGGCAGCCTCGGCCCGGACCCCAGACCCCGCGGCCCCGGACCCCAGACCCCGCGCAGGATCCCTCCCAGGACGCCCTGGGCCTCGCCCCTCGATGGCCCCGCCCTCCGGCACCGAGGCCCCGCCCACCGAGATAGAGGCCCCGCCCCGACGTCCCGCCTACCGAGGCCCCGCCCATCGAGACCGAGGCCCCGCCCCCGAGACCGAGGCCCCGCCCCGCCGCCCGCCCGCCCTCACCGTGGTACTCGGCCCACTTGTAGCCGCGTACGATCTCCTTGCTCTCGCCCGCCGGGGCCACGTTGACGCGGATGAGCACGTACTTGAAGACGCCGTCGGGGTCGATGTCCACATCGGGGATCTGGGCGAGGTCCGCCGCCGCCATGTTCCCGGGAACGCGCCCGCCGCTGCGGCCCGCCGCCCTTCCCCTGCGCACGCGGGGCTGCGTCAGTGCGGGAGGCGGGCCCTGGGAGGCCGCGGCCAATCCTGCGGGGCCGGCAGCCCGGCCCTCAGCCTCAGCCAATCGGGCCGCCCGCCCGCAGCGCCGACGGGCCCGTCGCCATCCAGCTCCTTGCAGCCCCGGGACCACGCGGGTCCCGCTTAAAGGGGAACGCGGAGCCCCGGCGGCGACGGTTAAAACCAGCGGCGGTCCCGCCGGCGGAGCTGAGCGTGGACCCATGAACCAGAGATCACGGCTCCGTCCCGGTCAGGGCACGTGCCCGGGTTGCGGGCTCCATCCCCGGTTCCACGTGTGCAGTGGGCAGCCGATCCATGATCCTCGCTGATCGCTGATGCTTCTATCTGTACCTCTCTCTCCCTTCCTCTCTGAAATCAATAAAATATTTAAAAATACCAGGGGCGGATAACTGCCTATCTAGCAGGGCCACGGGCTGGGGCCAGGCCCCTCTGGAGGGGGCTAGGCGGCCCTTGCGGCCAGAGGGACGCACGCCGGCTCTGACAGCTTCCCGCCCCGTGTCCAGGGCCTCCCGCCTCCCGCCCATGGAGTCCGAGGCCCGCCCGCCCCGCCCGCCCCGCCCGCCCATCGAGTCCAAACGCCGCCCGCCCCGGCCCGCCCATCGAGTCCAAACGCCGCCCGCCCCGGCCCGCCCACTCCAACATAAAGAGGCAGCAGTGGTGACATTCGAGTGGTTTTACTTCGAAAAGCGCTCGCCCCCTGGAAACAATCCCGGTCCAGGGTTCTTCCTGTCCCGCCGGCCGAAGGCGGAGGCCTGGGAGCGGGTTGCACGGTGGCCCAATTTGGGGGGGCGCGAAGGCGAGTGGGACCAGTAGGGCGCGTGGCCGGTGCAAAGGCGCGGGGCGAGGCGGCACGGGGGGAGGAAGGGAGGAGGCGGGAGGGGCGCGAGCAGGGGGCGTTCACATTTAGTTCAGTTGAGCCGCAGCCCCGGTGCGGCTCTGGGGGCTCCAGGAGGGCCCTTGCGGGTGCCCGGCTTCCCCCTCTTCTGGTCACTTGTGGTCCATGGAGCCCGGGTCGCTAGCCTCGCGTTTCCAGCTGCAACGCCAGGCACGGCCACGCGGGAAGGGTGTGTGTATGTGTATGTGTGTGTGTGTGTGTATATATATATATGTGTGTGTGTGTGTGTGTGTGTGCGCGTATGTGTGTGTATGTATGTGTGTATATATGTGTATATATGCATGTGTGCACGTGTGTGTGCGCGCGCGCGTGTGCACAGTGACGTCCGCACCCCTCGCGGACCCCTGCCCTGACCTCAGCTGCTCCCACCCAGGCTTTCCCCGCTCTGCTCCCAACTGGAGGCCGGTCCTCCAGGCTCCCTGCGCCCGCGGGTAGGAGCCCTTCTGCGTCCCTCCTGCTCATGCGTCCCCGCACCTGTCTCCGGCCTCCCTGTGCAGTGAGCCTGCTCTGCCCTGGCTCCCGCCCCGGGCCCTCCTGTGGGTGTGGGCCGGCAGCCTGACTTGTGCCCAGCCAGGTCTCAGCTCTGGGCCAGCGCCCCCCCCCGCACCCCCACCCTGCTTCCCCTGCCGGGCCTCCTCCCCTCTAGCCGGCTGCCTGGCACCTGGACGGGAGACCTCCAGCACCCTCCACTGCCGCCTGCCCCGGCCACTCCTGCGGGGCCCAGGCCGGGCAGACTGTGGCGAGGGAGGCAGGCGGGTAGCGCTGAAAGACCGTGCGTGCTGGGGGGGGGATGGGGTGTGTGTGTGGGGGGGGACGGCTGGCTGCGCCCTCTGCACCGGGACTGCGGCCGGTGGAAACGCACCACTAGGGCGGCGCGCACCGCAGACCACAGGAGGCGGGTGGGGGGCGTGTTAAATGGGGCGGGACCAGGCTCTGGTCTACTCGGGCTCCAGGACCCTGGCGTACGAGATTGGGGAGGTTCCAGGGAGGCCCTGCGGCTGACAGGGACGGTCGGACGGGATCTGCGTGGTGGGGTCTGCAGTAGTGACCCCTCCGCTTGAAGGCAGGGCCGGGCGGTCCTCGAGTCCACCCCGCCTCCCAGCGGGAAGCACCGAGCGGCAAGGACCGGCCTCTGGGGAGGCCCGCTGGGGAGCTGGACCAGGGGGAGCTGGACGGGAGGAGGAAAGGCGGGGCTCGTAGAGGACACGATGGGGTAGGCCCTGGGCGGAGCTCAAGGTGAGTAAGGCGGGGACCGGGCGAATCTGCAGCGGGACCTAGAAGCGGGAGCGGGGTCTGAATGGACAGGCTGGTCCTGAGTGGGCTGGGCGGGGCTCGGGGCATCCCTGGGTGGGCGGGGCGGGGCCTGCGGCTGGGCGGGGCTAGAGGGCAGACGGGGCGGGGCCTATGTGGATTGCGTGGGGCCCTGGCGCCCGGCCTCACATGATGTCGTCCAGCAGGTTGGCGCTGGCCACCCAGTCCAGAGCGCGAGGCTCCGAGGCGGCCATGATCATGCACATGAAGGGGCGGCCGGTCCGCCGGTCCGTGGGGTAGATGGTGGTGGGCGTGAAGCGCCGGTTGTCCTCCACGAACTCGCAGAGCTGCTCGTAGACGCGCGGGAACTCGTGGCGCAGGAAGACGCCGCGCAGGCGCAGCTCGCGCTGGATGTGGATGAAGGCCACCTCCCGCGCGCGCCGGCCCGCCTCGCCCTCCTGGTCCAGGCCAGCCGTGCCCGGCGGCGGCGTCAGGATCAGCGTCTCCATGTCGGGCTCCAGCCCCCGCGTCGGGGGTGGCCGCGAAGGGCTGCCGGCCGCCAGCGCCACCTTGGCGAACTTGCGCACCGTGGGCCCCGGGCTCCGTGGCGCAGGCCGGGCAGGGGCTCCGGGGGGTGTGGCGCCGGGGCCCACGGCCACCGACACGCTGAGCAGGAAGCACTCGGCCGGCTCGTAGAGGCGCCCGGCGGCCGCCAGCTCGCGTGCGTAGCTGCCCAGTGGCGCCGCGTGCGTGGCCAGCTCGCGCAGGGACAGGTAGGTGGGCGACAGCAGCAGCCCCTCGAGGCCGAAGCGCAGGAAGTTGTCCGCGGAGCCGGGACTCGGGAAGCCCAAGAAGAGCACGCCGCGGCCGCGAGACAAGAAGCCCACGCGGGCGATGCGCGAGAAGGCGCGGTGCACCGGGCCGCTGTCGCGGCAGAACTGCAGCACGTGGCGGCACACGCTGCCCACGCGGCCGTACACACAGCGCGCCTTGTGCGCGTCCCAGTCCTCGCGGCGGCACAGGCGCGAGCAGTAGTAGGTGTAGCAGCTGTGGCAGGACTTGAAGTAGAGGCAGGCGTGGAACAGGGTCTCGGTGCGCCCGCAGCGCGCGTTGGAGCAGGTCATCAGGTCGTCCTCGTCCGCGCTGGGCTCGGGGGACTCGTCTGCCGCCTGCCCCGCCCCCGAGGGCTCCTCGGCGCTGCCGGCAGACGCGGGGGGCGAGCGCGGCGCCGTCGCCGGGGCCCCCGAGCCCGCGGGCCGCAAGTCCAGCAGTCGTCGGAGCTGGCGGCCCAGGCCGTCGGCCGTGGGGTGGGAGGCCTGGCCGGCCAGGGGCCGGGAGTCGATCACCAGGTCCGTGATGAGCTCGTCCAGCTGTTCGAGGCTGCGCTGGCGACCGGAGGTGGGGCCGTCGGGGGCGGCGGGCGGGGGCGGCCGCCGGCGGCCCCCGGGCAGCTCCCAGCCCCTGGTGGTCGGGCGCTCGGCGGCGCGGAGGTCGTTGTCGGTGATGGTGATCTCCGGGGTGACATACCAGCTCCGGCCGGGGCCGTCGCCCGCGCGGCCCCTCTCCGACAGCGACGTCTCCGACAGCGACAGCGCAGCGTAGCGTCGAGGCGAGGTGGACAGGTTGACGACGACCGGCGGGCGCCGGCCTCCTGGGGAGGTACCCCGTGGCTCCCGGGCCTCCCCTCCCAGCAGGTTCTCGTAGCTGCGCCCGCGGCCCAGGAGGTCCTCGCGGCGCGGCCCGGGCGCCAGGATGTTGTCCCAGGAGCGCGAGTAGTGGCGGCTGTCGGTGGCCAGGCGGGGCGGGCTGGTGCCCATGCCCCCGTGCCAGGAGGCGAGCAGCGGGCCTGGGGCCGGGGGCGGCGCCACCTGCAGGGTTCGGTAAGGCCGCGGGCCCCAGTCGCCCCAGGCCGGGCTGCCGCGTGGGTATGGGTACGTCCGAGCCAGGGCGTCGCGGTCTCGGTACCGGCCCAAGTCCTCTGTGTAAAAGGGTCGGGCGGCGGGCTGGGCCTGGGTCTCCGTGGGCGGATGGCAGGGACCCCAGGGCGGGATGTGGGCTTGGGGGGCATCTCCGTAGCAGGAGCCTAAGGGCGGCTCGTGGAACGGGAAGGTGCGCGCTTCCCACGCCAGGTAGCTGCCCCCACGCCGTGGGCTGGGCCTCGCGGGCTCCTCGGGCCGGAAGGGTCTGGGGAAGTAGCTGTCACAGGGGGGGCCCGGGCTGGCCGCAAAGCCGCCGGCGTGGCCGTCGGGCTCCTCGGTGTAGAAGAATTGGGAGGGGCCGGGCGGGGCGGGGAAGGGCAGACTGCGCCGCTCCGCATAGTCCCGCGGCCCGGGCAGGAGCCCGTCGCAGTACGGCCCCCGGGGGTCCACGCAGTAGGAGTCGCTGGGCGTGGGGGTGCGCGACAGCGCCACGTGGTGTGGCCCGGGCACCGTGAGGCCGTGGAGAGGCGGCGCAGCGCGGGCCCAGGGTGCGGTCTGGGCGGGCCCGCAGGGCCGCGACCCCCGGGCGGCGTGCTGCAGCACCGCCTCGTCGGGTTTGATGTCCAGGCGGCAGCGGACGTGGGGGGCAGGCCCGGCTGGAAGCTCCGGCGGCGCATAGCGGTCGGGGGCGGCGCACAGGGGCGCGATGCGGCCAGGGCCGCCCCGCTGCGGCTGCAGCTTGATGGGATGCAGCTCATTGGCGAGCGCGCGCAGCGCGGGGTACGAGGGCTCCCGGCGTGGCGACCCCTCGGCCCGCGCTGCCCGTTGGACCTCTTGGCCTCGGCGCGGCAGCACTGGCGGCGAGGCGGGCGCGGGCGCCAGGCCCGGAGGCTCGCGGGGCGCGCTCTTGGAGCGGGCGCGGCGCCGGGGTTCGCTGTCGCGGGGCCGGGAGCGAGGCGCAGGGAGCTCTGGGGGCGGCGGCTCGGGGCGGCCCTCCATGGCCGTCCCGTCCAGCGCCTCCAGGAAGTCGAAGCTGCGGCAGTGGCGCTTGTTGAAAGGCACGGGCGCAGCGGGCCGGGCCGTGGGGCGCTCACATGGCGGGCGCCTGGGCGAGGGCCCGGGGGCCGCCACCTTGATGTCCTGGTACACGGTCGACACCAGCAGATCCGGCGGGTCCGTGCGGGTCATCTTAAACGAGGTCCCCAGGCTGGCGGCTGCAGCTCATTCGGCCTCGTGGGGCTTTGGCCCTGCGGGGAGACACGGTCAGGGCCGCCCCCCCGCAGCCCGGCCCCGCCCCCTCTACGCCCCCCCACCCCCCGCGCCGGACTGGCTTACCTGGGGCGCGGGGGGCGGAGCAGCCCTGGTGTGGGGCCTTGGCTGAGGCCGCGGACACTCGCTCCATGCCGCCGCCTGCAGCCCCCGCAGAAGGAGCCCAGCTGTTCAGCCGCTCAGGTTCTAACCCATCTTCCTGGCCACTTTCTAGTGGATGACACGCGTGGGTCGGCTGAAAAGGCGATGCCATTGCTGTGGTTAGATGCAGGCTTGGTCAGACCCCTTCCTGGTCCCCGACCGGCAGGAAGAGCAGGGGTGTTCCCTGGTACCCATGGCTGGAAGGACGGAGCTCATCTGGGGCCTAATGTACGACCTTATTGCTGCTGGCGCCATAGCCCCTGGTGACCAGTGCTCTCCCCTGGCCCAGCCAGCTCTGCCCAGTCACAGTCCGTCTCCTGCTCCCCTGCGAGGAGGCTGCATGGAGCCCCTCCCCCGCGCAGCCAGGGCCGCCTCACTGGGGACAGCTGGATGCTCCAGGCCCCAGTCCTGAGGCCCCTCTGGGCCCCGGGGTGGCCCCACCAGGTCCAGGCATGGTCCTTAGGCTGCAACGCTGGCCTGTCCGCCCTTGACACTTGGCATGGCCCCGGCCTGAGTAATGCCCCCCAAGAGCACACCTGGGCCCCCAGCCCGCTCCCCTTTGCAGACACTGCTGACGCAGCCGTCTCAGGGTGGTCGGAACCCCCCAAGATCGCAGGTTTCAGGACAAGGCGGGGAGAGTGACCCCAGCTTTGCAGCGTGTGCACCGCGACCTGAAAACCAGGCTGGGCCACATGGGGGCGTGTGAGCTGCCCCCCTTCCCCTGCCTGGGGCACCCGGGCAGGAGGCTGCCAGGAGGCAGCGTGGTGGGTGGGTTAGGCTCCACCCCTCCTCCGGCGAGGACGCTCCCCGCCGGCTCAGGAGGCTCCATGGAAACCCGCGGTTCCACCCCCGCAGTGCGGGCTGGGCCGGGGTCCACCCTCCGCACCGGCTCCCGTTCAGACGCGGGCCGCCAGCCCCGCTGTGGCGCCAGGGCCCGGACCGGCTGGGAGGGGCCAGACGGTGCGGAGGGGGCCCCGCCTCCTCACAGCCCGAGGCTGGGCTCCGGGCGAGTGCGGACGGGATGCTGCGCCCTCACCTGTCCGACCCTCTGTCCGACCCTCTGTCCTGGCTGCAGGGGCCTCGGCCGGCGGGGCTGGTCCTCCGCGTCAGGGCCGGTCCCCAGCCCAGCCGCGCACCCACCGGCTCTGCCCCTGGCTGCAGGGCCCCTGTCCCCTCCCGACCCTCCCGAGCTCAAAGTCAGGCCGGAACCGGGGGCGATGACAGGGCGAGGCTCCGCCCCAGGGAGGTGACAGCCTGGCCTGGCGCTGCGGGGCGAGGACTGCCCCCGCCCCCACCCCACCCCACCCCCCGCCTGGGGAAGGGGCGGTGGCCCCGCCTGGGTCCCAGGCCTGATGACTTGGGGGCAGCCCCCCATGGCACGTCCCGGCCCACAGCCCCCACCCCGAGCAGCCGAGAGGGATGGCGGGGTGGCCCCCATCCTTGCGGAACACCCCAACCCTTCTCCCCAGACACGACTCGTGGGCAGCAGCCCCGACCTCTTACCTGAGCGCTGCTTGCCCGCCGAACCGACAGGTCGTGCAGGCCCGAGCCCGCCCACCGCCCCCCACTCCGCGCGTCCCGCACCCGCACCGCGTCCCCGGCACCGGCAGAAGCTTCCAGGCAGCGAGCGGAGGCCGGCGGCTCGGTGCTGCCCCCGCTGGTGGCCGGTGGCGTTGCACTTAAAGGGGCCGCGCCTGGGGCCTGGGACCCACGTGGCCTCGGGCTCAGCACTGTGCTGTGCGGGACGAGCCCTCCGGTACCTCCAGGTGCCGGCCTGGGGTCCAACCAGAGGGCCTGCTGGTGCTGCCAGCTCCCGCCCGGCAGGACAAGGGGGCAGAGCTCTGGCCGGGACCGGACACCCCCAGCACCACTCCTGGAATTTACACCCGGGTCGGCCCAGGAGGAGCAGATGGGCTGCTCGGCGCCTGCTGGCGTGCGGAGGCGCCAGACTCTGCAGGTACCTGGGCCATATGGCCCCCAGCTGGACCGGGCCTGACGCCCTTCCTTAGGGTGCCGGCCTCTCCCAGGCCAGGAGGCCCCTGCTGCCCCCCTTCCGCCCCCAGCGTCCAGCAGGCAGGGGCTGTCACTGCCCTGGGCAGGCTGCATGAGGCCCACTGCAGCCTCCCAGCACCCCCTTAACAAGATGCTGAGCCAGGGAACATTCTAGCTGGGCAGGAGTGGGACCATGAAATGTGGGGCCCTGGGCAAGGTCGTGACACATTTGCCACAACCCCATTTGTGGGCTCAAGAATGGCCAGCCTGCGTGGCTCAGTGGTTGGGCATTGATCTGTGAACCAGGTCATGGTTCGACTCCCAGTCAGGGCACATGTCCAGGCTGTGGGCTCGACCCCCAGTGTGGGGTGTACAGGAGGTGGCCCACCAATGATTCTCATCATTGATTTTCTCTCCCCCTCTCCCTCTCTGAAATCAATAAAAATGCATTAAAAAAATGATCTCCCAGGCTGTGGGAGTCCCTGAGTGAATCAGCTTGGTGCTTGCCCAGTGGCTGCTATCCCACTGCCCCCCACCCCCAACTCCAGGTTCAAAAATCTAGGAACAGAAGTTGGGGGAAGGAAGGGTTACTGGACTGGGAGGAGGATGCCCAGCCTGCCTACCCCTGGAGGGTGGGGCAGCTCCTGCATCAAAGCTGTTCCCATGGTAACTGCTGGGGTGGGCAGAGCCAGGGGAGCAAGGACACAGCCTGCCCTCAGAGCTGGGCACCTGTGTATTCCTGGATGCAAGTGCCGAGCCCTGGCCCAGGTGGACGGGACAGACACGCAGACACTGGCCATGCTGGCCCACCTGGACGGCACGTGGTTCTCGTGGCCTAATGGGAAGTCCTCCAAAGGCCACGCCTAGCCAGTGGGGCTGGAAGGCCTCCTACCCTAGAGGGCGGCCACCCTTCTGGGAACCACAGACCTGCGGCGACCGGGCAAGGCGGCCTGCAGGCCAGTCACAAGGGCGCCGAGGAGCGGAGCAGCAGGAAGCAGCACAGAGACAAGCATTAAAACAGGAGAGCTTTATGGTGGGAGCCGAGTGTGGAAGGAGAAAAGGAAATGAATGAGGACATTCTGGCTCCACGGGTGACCGCCCAGCAGGTGTGACGCTGGACACCAGCCTGGGAGGAGCCCCCAGGGGTGTGCCGGCACTGCCTGGCGTCAGCAGCAGCGGTGCCCAGAGGGCTCGGGATGCGATGCGCAGCCCAGGGAGCTGCAGCCAGGGAGCCGCGCTGCCCGCATGCGGTGGCCGGGCGAGGAGGAGCTGGGTGTGACGGGCGCTCTGCCTTGTGAACAGCCTTGCCGGCCTCCTGGGCCTTCGTCCCTCCCTGAGAAGCAACAGGGCCGATGCCTGCTGCCCACCCTCCACAGGGCGGGCCCAGTGCCCCAGCGAGTGTGGAGTGTGCGTGCTCCCCGTGCCAGGTCTAGAGCTCCTCGTAGTCCCCTCCCCCGCGGAGATGGCCACCTGGGGCCCCGCCCCCCAGGAAGGCTTCTAGCTCATCCGCCGCCCTCTTGCCCCTGCGCTGCTTCCGGTCCTCACGGCCCTCCTCGCGGTCCTTGCCCTTCTTGTGCTTGCTCTTCTTCTTGGCCGCCTTTTCTTCCTCCTGCGGAACAACATGGCGTCACCAGGGCGCCAGGCCCGAGGCCCCCCTCTTCCCACCCCCCGCCCCCGCATGGCACCTGGGAGGGGGAGGGCGTACCTCCTTGTCTTTCTTCTTCTTTTTCTTCTTCTCCTTGGAGGGAGGCCTGCCCTCCTTATCTGAAGAGAGACCCAGCGTCAGCCCCCCTCTCGGCCCGCCCGCAGGACTGGTCCCTCGGGAACAGCCACACTGCATTCAGGACAAGCCTGGAGGCCCCTTCCTCTCCTTTCTGGGACGGGTCCCAGGTGACACTGCGCCAGGGCTGGGCGCAGGCAGCGCAGGATGGAGGGCAGGGACAGGCCAGGAGACCATGTGTGCTGCCCAGGGGGGCTGCACTGGCATGTGAGCGTGTTGGGCAGCTCCCAGCAGCACCACTAAAGGCCTCCTGTGTGGACATTCAGACGCCCAGGGCCTGCTCCTGGCCCGGGTCTGGGAGGTCATCAGGACCAGGCAGGACCCACAGGACTGAGGCTTCTCGGAACCCACAGCCCGTTGCCAGCCCGCAGAGCAGGGAACCCCTGGGTAAGGGACAGGCAGGCAGGGGATCAGACATGGGCCGGCTGGCACCCAGGGAGGCCTGGCTACCTTCGCTGCTGCTCGCCTTGTGGCTGGGCTCCTCCAGCCCCAGGCCAAAGAGATCCAAGTCGTCCTTCACTCGGAAGGCGGGGGCCGGGGGCCTGGGGGGCGGGGGCGCCTGGGCAGGGCCCGTGTCCTCGTCCGTCACATCGGAGAGATCCTCCCGCACCGGGAACTCGTCCTGGAGGAGCAGGCAGGTGGGGCCACCGTGCCGTTAGGCTCTACCTTTTCCTGGGCAGGTGACAAGGCTCCTCGAGGGCCCACACCTGACCCAGGGGAAGGGGACAGCAATGCCTGAGGGTGGCAGCCAGGATGCTGCAGCCCCTCCCCTCTGTGCCCGTGACGGGCAGCCAGGCCTGGGCTCTGGCATCACGGTGCTGCTGCCCAGCATGCGGGAGCTGTGCCCTCCCTGCCGTTCCGTCCCCAGGTGCCCTCGGCCCTCACCGCTCTCCGTAGTGTGTCCGAGTCGCTCTCAAAGTCGGGGTCATCCATGACAAAGGACAACATCTGCGCAGCGATGGGCCCCTCAGGGTCACTCTCTGACGAGGCTGCCAGTTCGTCCTTCCCGCTGGGCCCCCGCGAGGGCTCTGCGCGCTTGTGCGGCCTCAGGGCCTTTGTGGGGGGCCTTCGGGACAAGGAGGCGGTCAGGGGCCTGTCTGTCCTTTCTCCTGGAGCCGCTCCCCTGGGGATCCCCACATACTGTGTGGTCTCTGGCTCGGAGCACTTCTGGGGGGCCAGGGCAGCGGCCTTGGGGGGTCCTGCAGCCTCTTCATTGGGAAGAGTGTTCTCCCTAGAGACGGGGCCCGTGGGCAGCAGGGGCCTGCTGGGCGGCTTGTCTTCCAGGTCCACATCGTCCTGGAAACCCGCCACCATCGGGTTCCCTCCGGGGGCCTCCCCGTCGCTGCGAAGGGGGGGCAGGGAGGTCAGAGGTCATGAGAGGGTCCTGGGGAGCCTCTGCCAGCCACAGGGCTGGTCACTGATGGCGGGGCTCAATGGTGAGGGGACCCTACTTCTGGGCAGGCTCGGGCTGCTCTGCAGGGGCCCATGCTGGCAGCAACAGCAGAGGCTGCAGCAGGGAGGGAGGTGGGTCCAAGGGGAGGAAGCCCAGGAGGGGCTGTTTCCTGCGGGGGGGGGGGGGGGGGGGCCCGCCGGGCGTGTCTGTCCTTGTGCACTTCTCAGGGACATGGTGAGACTGGGGAGCTTGGAGCGGGCCCAGGAGGGAGGCCATGCGGGTGGGGCCGAGGGCAAGGTCGGCTGCTGCCCGAATGGGTGCTGTCTAGGGCCCAGGTCTGTGGCTCACAGAAGGCCTGGCACCACCCTTACCTGTCGCTGTCCTGAGGGGCCTCGGCCTCAACTGTCCTCTCATCCTTCGCGGGGGCCACATCATCCAGGAAGCTGTGGTCAAGGCCGTCCCCAGGAACAAATTCCTCGACGTCCTGGACTTTCGCCGGGGCCTCTGCAGCCGGGGCCGGATCTGTGCCCGCAGGGCCAGGACGCAAGCCGGGGTTGGCCTGTGACTGGGCCGTCACACTGCCCACCCAGGAGGAAGGGGACCCGGTCCCAGTCTGGGGGAGCTCACAGGGCCAGGGCGATGGTGCCATCAATGCTTGGGCCGCCCACACCTTCCGAGGGGCCCCTGGGGCCTACCTGGGGGGGGAGGGGCCACCTCGGCAGCTGGCGAGGTCCCAAACAGCCGGGAGATGATGCTGCGTCTCGGGGCTGGAGCAGGGGCCACGGGGGGCGCTGGGGGCAGCGGGGCCTCTGAGGGGGACTGTGGGGAGGGGCAGGCAGAGGGGGCGGGGAGGGGCAGC